CCCACCAGACCATAGATTCTTACAGCACAGGGGAACCCACCAGACCATAGATTCTTACAGCACAGGGGAACTGACCAGACCATAGATTCTTACAGCACAGGGGAGCCCACCCGACCATAGATTCTTACAGCACATGGGAGCCCACCAGACCATAGATTCTTACAGCACAGGGGAACCCACCAGACCATAGATTCTTACAGCACAGGGGAACTGACCAGACCATAGATTCTTACAGCACAGGGGAACTGACCAGACCATAGATTCTTACAGCACAGGGGAACTGACCAGACCATAGATTCTTACAGCACAGGGGGAGCCCCATGAACTGAAGACAGCCCTACTCAGCTGCACCTGTGCTCTGACCTGAGGTTGGCCTGCTTCAGAGGAGGGGATGGGGTGGGTCAGAGCTTCTGGGTATCCAGCTGCTGGGTGACAGTGGATAGGGGCAGGGCCTGGGGGAGGGAGGGAGGTCTCTAGCTACCTTTATAGGTTTCATTCTAAAGCTGTTGTGCAAACGGCTTCATCTGGGTGAAGTCCCCTGAGGCTTATCACAAGTGTTGGGCACCATCAGCTCATTCTTCAGATGGCAGCTAACGCAGGGGAAGCAGGCTTGGGTCCCACTGCGTCCTTGCCTGATCTGTGTCCACTTGAGATGGGTGGAATCTGCAGCCTTCAGAGCCACAAGCTACGCAGCTGTCCTCTCTTTAAGGGATGTGGGCTGTGGGCCTGTTGACTCCGGATTAACGAAGGGAGGGAGGTTGAGTCTGAGCCGCTAGCCCAGGGTGTGCATCCACAGAGTGCCCACCGATTGGGATGGAATCACACCGCATTGAGGACAACCAGATCCGTGCCTCCTCCATGCTGCGCCACGGCCTGGGAGCTCAGCGGGGCCGGCTCAACATGCAGGTGTGTGAGTGGACTGTCTATCCTGCAGTGGGTGAGGGCCCGCCCACCCGTGCTCAGCCTCCCTTCTGACAGGCTGGAGCTAATGAGGACGACTACTATGACGGGGCATGGTGCGCTGAGGACGAGTCACAGACGCAGTGGATCGAGGTGGACACCAGAAGGATGACTCGGTTCACAGGCATCATTACGCAGGGCCGAGATTCCAGCATCCAGTATGTAAACGGGCTCTTAGGCAGTGGGCAGGGGCTCCCACACAGCTCTAGTCCCACTTGGGGACATTCCAGACAGCCCTTGACCTGAACTGGGAAGGCCAGAAAAATCAATGAGGGGCCAATCATGTACCTGCCCCTCAGTCGTGGCTAGTCAGTCTGCATGTTCAGACGGACAGACAAGCGTTGAGACAGCCACTGCCCGTGGCCAGACACAGAATCTGGCTCCAGAGGTCCAGGCTGTGCTCCACAGCCCTGCTGGCCCAGAAGTTGCTCAAGACCTTAGAGCCTTGGATGAGAGCATTCTTTCCTACTGTGTCTGTTCCCCAGTGACGACTTTGTGACTACCTTCTTCGTGGGCTTCAGCAATGACAGCCAGACCTGGGTGATGTATACCAATGGCTACGAGGAAATGGTGGGTGCTCAGATCTTCTGCTTTGCTCATTGTCTGGGCCAGGGTGGACTCTTGGAAGATCAGGGCACTACACAGATGTCTGCGTCTCTTTAGACTTTCCATGGGAATGTGGACAAGGACACACCTGTGTTGAGTGAGCTCCCTGAGCCGGTTGTAGCCCGTTTCATCCGTGTCTATCCGCTCACCTGGAACGGCAGCCTGTGCATGCGCCTGGAGGTGCTAGGCTGCCCCGTGACCCGTGAGTGAAGAGGGCCCTGGCTGTGGCTTTGGGTGGCTGTGTGTGATTTGGGTGTGGATCAAAGGGCAGCTGATTCAGGCCTCTTCTGCAGCTGTCCACAGCTACTATGCACAGAATGAGGCGGTAATCACTGACAACCTGGACTTTCGGCATCACAGTTACAAGGATATGCGCCAGGTTAGGAGCCTGAGGGCCCTGTGCTGGGGAACAAGAGAGCTTATACTCAGCCCTGTCCCTATTATTCCAAAGGCATAATCTTTCAAGGAATGTTGGCCGCTTCTTGCCTTAGGGAAGGAACTAGTACCTGGGGTCTTCCCAAAGAACCCCCCAGAAGAGTGGGAGGATGCTCAGTGACATCATATCTCCTCCCTGCCAGCTGATGAAGGTGGTGAATGAGGAGTGCCCCACAATTACCCGCACATACAGCCTGGGCAAGAGTTCACAGGGGCTCAAGATCTATGCGATGGAGATCTCGGATAACCCTGGGGAGCACGAGCTGGGTGAGGGCCTGGGGACGGTGTTTTGCCAATGCTTAGAGTTCCAGGGTCCCTGCACTGCCTCTCTCCTGCTGGGCCTGTACAGCGGCTATACGGCACTCACCACCGCCTGCCTGACCTGCAGACTCCAGGGGACCCAGGCCTGCCTCCCTGAGCACCAGAAGAATCAGCTGCCCCCAAACCTTTTGGGCACATCTGGGCCTTGCCAGGCTAAGTGCTTGCTGTGGCTCCTGTCTTTGCAGGGGAGCCTGAGTTCCGTTACACAGCTGGGCTCCACGGCAATGAGGTACTAGGCCGAGAGCTCCTGTTACTGCTCATGCAGTACCTGTGCCGCGAGTACCGTGAAGGGAACCCCAGAGTGCGCAGCCTGGTACAGGACACGCGGATCCACCTGGTGCCTTCACTGAACCCTGATGGCTACGAGGTGGCCGCGCAGATGGTGGGTTGTGGGGCTAGCAAGGGGTGGCTAGAGGTTGGAGGCATGGGCGGACCTTCCCTGACTTCCTACTATCTAGTCACCTATGTTTTCCTTGTAGGGCTCAGAGTTTGGGAACTGGGCACTGGGGCTGTGGACTGAGGAAGGCTTTGACATCTTTGAGGACTTCCCAGACCTCAACTCTGTGCTCTGGGCAGCTGAGGAGAAGAAGTGGGTCCCCTATAGGGTCCCCAACAATAACCTGCCAATCCCTGAACGCTACCTGTCCCCAGATGCCACGGTGAGGAGCAAGTCCTGGCATGCTGAGCGGTGGCAGCTGGAGTGCGGGGAGGGCTGCTGACAGCGAGCTGAGGTGTTGGCATTGAGACCCGGGAGGGCGAGAGGAAGAGTCTGAGGGACATGGCTGCGTATGCCACACATCCCTAGGTATCCACAGAAGTCCGGGCCATCATCTCCTGGATGGAGAAGAACCCCTTCGTGCTGGGTGCAAATCTGAATGGCGGTGAGAGGCTTGTGTCTTACCCCTATGACATGGCTCGGACACCTAGCCAGGAGCAGCTGTTGGCGGCAGCAATGGCAGCTGCCCGTGGAGAAGATGATGATGAGGTACCGGAAGCCCAGGAGACTCCAGATCATGCTATTTTCCGCTGGCTGGCCATCTCTTTTGCCTCAGCCCATCTCACCATGACTGAGCCCTACCGGGGAGGGTGCCAGGCCCAGGACTACACCAGCGGCATGGGCATTGTCAATGGGGCCAAGTGGAATCCTCGGTCCGGGAGTAAGTCGGCTTGGGAAGAGCTTGGGGAAGGCATGTGACCTGGGGAGAGGATGACCATGGGTCTGTTTTCCTCTGTCTAGCTATCAATGACTTTAGCTACCTGCATACCAACTGCCTGGAGCTCTCCATTTACCTGGGCTGTGACAAGTTCCCTCATGAGAGTGAGCTGCCCCGTGAGTGGGAGAATAACAAGGAGGCGCTGCTTACCTTCATGGAGCAGGTGGGACAGCCTGGGCTACACAGGAGGGTGACGCTTGGGAGGAGTATGGACGTGGAATCTGTGGGCCCACACCTTCCTTTTGCAGGTGCACCGTGGCATTAAGGGTGTGGTGACAGACGAGCAAGGCATTCCCATCGCCAATGCTACCATCTCGGTGAATGGGATCAACCACGGTGTTAAGACAGGTGCTCTGCATGTACACACACTCCATTTGTTTTGAAGGGGCAAAGTAGTAGCAAGGCAAGCCTGGTTTGTACTGCAAGTCTCTGGTCCCTTGGACCTTCCAGAGCTGCTGGGCCTGTCCAGGACTTGGGACTGCAGCTCCTGGGGAGACCTGAGGACTGGGCCTGGGGGAATCTGAGAGGTCAGAGCTGGAGAGGCCCTGGGACAATCAGGTTTATCTTCTTTATATAGCAAGTGGAGGTGACTACTGGCGCATCCTCAACCCGGGTGAGTACCGCGTGACAGCCCATGCAGAGGGCTACACCTCAAGCGCCAAGACCTGCAACGTGGACTATGATATTGGGGCCACTCAGTGCAACTTCATCCTGGCTCGCTCCAACTGGAAGCGCATTCGGGAGATCTTGGCTATGAATGGGAACCGGCCCATTCTCCGCATTGACCCCTCACGACCCATGACCCCCCAGCAGCGGCGCATGCAGCAGCGCCGTCTACAGTACCGGCTCCGGATGAGGGAACAGATGCGGCTTCGGCGACTGAATGCTACCACAGGCCCTGCCACGAGCCCCGCCCCTCCCCCCACGCCTCCTCCTTCCCCTACACCAGGCATTACCAGGAGGCCCTGGGAAATACTACCTACAACCACTACAGGCTGGGAGGAGTCAGAAACTGAGACATACACAGAAATAGTGACAGAGTTTGGGACAGAGTATGGGACTGAGCTGGAGGAGGAGATGGAGGAGGAGGAGGAGGTCACAGGCCCCGCATTTCCATTCACAACAGTGGAGACGTACACAGTGAACTTCGGGGATTTCTGAAACTGGAATCCCAACAACCTGGCCCAATTCAAACTAAGATGGCACTTCCCAAGCCTGTGCTGGCTGCCGCATAGCCATCAGAGGTCTCCCTCCCTGGTGTGGGACATCAGGGTCACCAGGACTCCAAAGCCAGTCTATGCAGAAGTTCCAGTTCTGCCTGCCAGCCTTTGGAGAGAAGCAGGCAAGGGAGCCACAGTCACACCAATAAAACAAGCTCACGGCACCCACTGTACTGTCCTGCCCAGCAGAAGAGGTTGGCTTGCCGGGGGCTTCCCTGTCAGTCCATCCCACACATGCCCAAGGTTCAGACCTGTAAAAATTCATGTTTTATTTACGGGGCTCACATGGCAAGGGTGAATGGCCCCGCTGCCTGTCATCAGGGACCCAGCCCCAGGTCTCCCAGGTCGTCGTGTTCTGCTCCAAAGCCTGAAAAGCTGATAGGCTGGCAGGCCAGGCTGCGCAGGTTCACCAGGCAGGCAGTCTGTGTGGAGCTGAAGTCAGGAACAGCCACCAACAGTACCACCTGGTCCTCAGGACCTGCAAGACAATCACAGGGGGCCGGCCGGTTAGGTTCTGGGTAGGACCTACTTTACAGGCAAGCCACCAGAAATGGCAGCCACAGTTGGACCACGAGCTTAGATCCATCTCTGACCCTTGTCAGTCAGCTACACCACACACCATAACACAACGGTCACCCCACAGACTGTCTATCCTGTAGGAACCTTTGTTCCCAGGTGAGGCACTAGAGTCCCCCAAAGATAAAGCTTACCTCGGATGATTTTGGAGCCAAAGCTGGGGGTGTTGCCACAGAAGTAGACATGGGGGCACTCCGGAAAGATGAACGGGTCGGTTTTGTAGAAGGGGTAACACCCTGGAGAAAGGCCTGTTGTTGAGCTGTCCCACTAAGGTGGCCCGCCTTCTCACTAAATGCAATAGCACCCCAGCTGACAAGAGTGTCTTGTGGTCACATGGCCCTGTGGTGCTAGGGGCTGTGTGCTTCTAGTCTGTAACTGCACAGCCCTGTCCGTGGACAGAGCGTGATTCCACAAGTGGCTTCCAGAACAGCTCTGAAAACAGGGCTGTGCTGGGAATGCACCCCGAGGAGAAACTGAGCAGATACCTAGGGTGTCCGGAGCCGTGGGGCTGATGTGACGGACCCGTAGAGTCCACTCCAGGATCTCTAAGTGGTCTTCCATGCTGCTGTACCGGAAGATGTCGCTCACATTCTGTCCAGACGTCCCTAGGAATCTGAAAGGGAAAGGATCTTCTGAGAGAGTGTGTGTGTGGGGGGGCTATCGCTGTCATCCCAGCCACAAAGACTATCTCAGATCCTACCCAGTGGCCTCATGGGGTGCTCAAGCCAACCTTGCAGGGAGACAATGCCAGGAGGGCCTTCTGCAGTCCCGTCCCCTCCCAGACTTACTCTGACCCATCACATGCCATGCTGACTACCTGACTCCATCGATGGTGGCCTGGTACGGATTGGTGACCAGCTGCAGTGTGGAGTAGGCAGTGGCCAGTGGGAACATGCAGGGGTGCAGGGGCTGCTGTGGGAGTGTATAGTTGGTTGGATCGAATTCACCTGGCATCACGTCCACAGGAACCGAGGCCTGGAGGGCACAAGGCAGGGAAGTTCGTAGGCCTCAAGAGGCCACACCCCTCCTCTGCCCACCCTACCTTCGCTTTCCCATCCGCCAGCAGCTTCACCAGCTGGGTTTCCACAGCCCTGCCAGTCCCCAAGCTGCTCACACTCAACTGCAGTAGGATCTCATCCAGCATTTTGACGGCCTCCACGCTGGCTGCCTGGGTTTTCTTGGTGAGGTACTTGGCCTAAGAGAAGAGACCCAGGGTGTGGTTGGGCCCTCGGTGAGGCTCTGAGAGAGGCTAAGGCCAGCACAGGTATGTCTACCTGCTGAAGGATAGATCGGGGCTGGCTGCACAGACCCCGAGCTGCAGCCTGGCCCGCAAACCTGCAGGGGGTGGGGCCTCACGAAGACAGGCCTGGAGCAGGCCCGGTCGTGCTAACAGGTCAGGCGGGGTAGCGGGGCCGACTGCGTACCTTGTTGATAGAATCTCTGCTCTGGGTATTGTGGCTGAGGAGGTTGCCCGCAAGGATGACTCGAGAGACATGGGCGGCGCTGCACTGTTCCCCTTCATCCCCAAGCTGTCCGGTCACCACATCCACCAGCAGCTGGGTGCCCAGGAGGCTCTCACCGCCACCTCCGCCCAGGCCCAGCCCGGACACCAGCAACACGAACCTGCAGAGGGCGGTGAGGTCTTGCAGGCTGCTGCAAGGAGGAGGCCATTCCTCCCAACAGAGACACCGGGTGCCTGAGTGGGCTCCCACCTGTCTGTGTCAAGCGGGGGTACAGGCTTCTGTGGAGCCAAATCAGCAAAGCAGTGGTCCTCAACCTGAAACCTGCCATCGTCTCTCACGGAGCCCAACACTGCCAAGACCGTTCCTGAGGGAAGGTGAAGTCAGAACCCCAAGGCAGCCTTCGGGGGTCTCCTACCCCCTGGCCACCCCGTCAGCCACTCCAGTGAAGCCTCGATTAATGGTGTACTTCACAGGTTCACTGCTCTTGCATGGAGACAGGAAGATTCATCTCCCAGACGACTGTCATGGACAGGCAGCCTCTGACCAAGCGAACCTCTACCTACTCCCAGGACGGGGGTAGCGGCCTTTAATGCAGGGCTCCCCACACAGCCACCCTCCTCCCTTCAGGATCCCCACCCGCCACTCCCTTGGGCTCCCACCTGTGACCAACTTGGACACATCGATGGTGCCTTTCAGTTTGATACGCTGCAGTTCATCTTCTAAGACCAGCTCATCATCCGGGTGGATGTATTTGCTCCGAGGAGGCTGGGGGATCAGGTTGTGCTGGAAGGCAGAAGAAGGCAGTCTCAGAGCCCAGGTCGCCACAGCTCCCGTGTTAGGAGGTGGCTTCCCCTGGAGTCACAGGCCCAGCCTCAATCACGGGGACAAGGCTGGCGTGTCAAGGTGGAAGGACTCACCTCCTCGCTGATCTCCCGCAGGATGGAGGGCTGCAGAGGCATGGCTTTGAATAGCGTGCCCACCACACAGCACTGCTCCCCAGGCTGCAGCTCACACAACTTCTTCACTGCGACTCCACTGCCTGGGTGTGAGGGCACAGAGTGAGACTATGGAATCCCACCCTGATGACACCCTCGGAGGACCCACAGGACTCTTACTGGGGCTCACAGGAGTGCTGCTCTCCTGGCCTTTGTCAGGAGGGAGAGCATGGTGAGCGAAGGATCCCTGGACCTCAATGTGATGGTGAAGGGGTTCACCAGAGGGGAACAGGCCTGTGGGTGGAGTGGGACCTGGATGCCAAACATCCTCAGAGGCAGGGAAGGCCGGGGCAAGGCCATGTGAAGACAGGGAGGAGACTGGATTGCCACAGGCATAATCTCAGGGACTCCAGGGCCACCAGAAACTGAAGTCTACTCTAAAGCCTCTAGAAGGAACCAGTCCTGCTGAAAACCCAATTTCAGACTCTAAGACTTTAGGACAATGCGAGAATAAACATTTGTTGTCCTAAGTCCCTTGTTTACAACAATTACCATGGCCACAGGAAGAAACTGTGAAACTATTACCTACGTCTCAGTCACACGCTACATCCTGACAACTACCATGTCCTAAGACTTCAGATTCTTTTGTTTTTTTCAAGTCAGTGTCTCACTACACAACTCTGGCTGTCCTCAACCTCACTCTGCAGACCAGGCTGGCTTCAAACTCACAGAGACCCACCTGCCTCTGCTTGCCAAGTGCTGGGATTAAAGGTGTGCACCACCATATCCAACTAAGACTTTGGATTCTTACGTGCCAGCCCCTGCTCTACCAAATGCTTCATCAAACTCTGAAAATATACAATTCCCACTTCATGTCCCCTCCCCCTCAGTTCATTTTATTCCCTGTGGAGTCAGCAGCCTTGCTCATTCAAAGCCGCCCCGGAGGCAAACCAGAACACATGTGAAGGCCCCTTATGCTAAGCAGGAAAGATGTGGGAAGCCAAGCAAGGCAGGAAGAAGGAATGCAAGTTCCAGAAAGTTCCAGGGATTCATCAGCACAGACCCAACCCTAGAACAAACTGCTGAGGAGGCAGGCAGGGTGCAGTGGAGGCTCAGCCAGAACCACACTCATGCCCCGGAACAGCCAAGAACATTCCTCCGAGCTCCACCCAGAGGAGCAGAATCCACAGAAGGAAGGGGGCTCTACCACCACACAGAAGCATCAGATGCTAACAGAAACGACAGACTGCAAATCCCCACCTGTGGCTCTGCTGTGGTTTGGGGGTGGGCCATCCCTCAAAGACCAAGGCTTCTGGTGCCCAGCCTGCCACCATGAGGCGCCTGCTCTCTAGGTAGCTAGGGTGGGCAAAGGGTGCCTGACCCGCATTGAGGATCGGAAATAGTGGCCAGAACTCAGTCCTTACCTCAGACCAGCCTCTGAGCCACACCTAACTTTAACCCCACAGGTTAATTTAACCCTTATTATTAACTTAAGCACCAGAGAGCTAACAGCGCTAACTTTCCAAGGTAATTGGAGAGTGCTAACAGGTTAGCAGCAGTATACCCCACTTACCCCAGTGCTGCTGGGCCCGGCTCACCAGGAAGGGCCTCATCTGGACAAGGCGGGTGGCATAAATGTGAGCATACTGTCGGCTGAAGCTGCGCTCTCCCAGTCGAAAGGGCTGTGAGGAGTTGGTGTAGGTTGCCACAGGCACCCGGGCAAAGGTGGCATTGCTGGCTGACGGTGGGGAGAGCAGAGTGTGGGCCCTCTGTGCTGCCTGCTCTGAAAACATGGCAGCGCCCCCGGCTTGTTCTGTCCATGCGGCGGTGTCCAGGTTAAGGAGCATCACTGTAAAGACACCCAGAGTCATCCCTGTAACTCCTGTTTGAACCCACAGCAGCAGCTCCCCTGGGGTCTCAACCAAGCTGCCCATACTGATCCTATGGGCACCGAGATGTGTCTGGAGGCGGCACCCTGTAGCCTTAATCAGATAAAACCTGGAGCTGGCACCAAACCCTGTTCATCTCCTCCATATTCCTACCCAGTTACCAGGTCTCAAATTCAGCATACCCTCAGTTATTAATCTGCCTTCATCCACCTCCCTGGAAACTGCCCTGCTTCTGGGAATGCTGCCAAGCATCGTCAAAGAAGCTTACCACAATATAATTTGGGTTATGCTTCCACAATACGGTCCATCACAGAGGGAGGTCAAGACAGAAACTCAAACAGAGCAGGAACCTGGAGTCACAAGCCATGGAGAGGTGCTGTTTACTAACTTGTTCCTCATGGCTTACTCAGACTTTATTTTTATTTTTATTTTATATGCGTTGGTGTTTTGCCTGCATACATGTCTGTCTGAGGGTGTCAGATCCCCTGGTACTGGAACTACAGGCAGCTGTGAGCAGTTATGTGGGTGCTGGGAATTGAACCTGGGTCCTCTGAAAGAGCAGTCAGTGCTCCTAACTTCAGAGTGCTCCCCTACCATAATACAGTTAGTGATAAAAATAAAACATAAAGCTGTCCCTGCTCTGCTCAAGACTCTCTTCCACGGCTGTGATTTCAGTAAACAAAGCCTCAAGTTCTCACTGCTACCTGTAAGACCAGCTCTGGTCCTCCCCGCCCACCTGTTCCTCCTCCACAGCAGGGGCTCCAGCAGAGGCCTGTCTACTCCCTGTTGGCTCTTCCCCTTCAAGTCTTTCCTCAAAACTCACCTCCCCACACTAATTTACTACATCTGCCACTCCAGTTGTTTGTATCTCTTCAAGCATTTACTCCGCCTCCTCCAAACGCACCCAAAGTTTCAGGGAGGCAGGTTTTTGTTTTCTTCAAGGAGGTATTGCACAACTGTCCCACAACGAGTCCAGTTAAGATGTGCTGGGGGGGGGGTGCACGGAGGATTTCAGTAAACAGTAAAGGGTGCTAAACGTTTTCAATGCGTAGGTTAAACGACAACAGTCCGGATGTAGCAATGTAAGTTTTGAACACAGCCTTCTTTTCGTTTTACTTTTTTGGTACAGCTAATACAAAGTTCAAATTATTCTTGCTGGCTCAGCTTTCTTTAATGTACACCTCTGGCTTAGGAAGCGGACTCAACGAATTTGCCAAAAGGGCGAGCGCGTGTGAACTCCATGTAAGCCGAATACGCAGGGGTGGGCAGCGGCCCACACGGCGCCCACAGCCAGACGCGACGGACGCCCCGCCCCGACGCCCCCAGCTAGGACACACGCAGCAGTCCGAAGCACCATCGAGCCCCCAGCCCGTGGCCCCGGGAGCCCCCAGCCTGGCCGAGCACCCACGTTAACCCCGGAGCAGCACACTCACCGCGCCGCGCCGCATCCCGCCAATCTCCGCGCGCCCATCCCGCCCATCGGCGCATCCGGCCAATCGCCTCCCACTCCGCCCCCGCCCATCCCGCAGCCTCATCCGGCCAATCCCCGTGTGCCCCGCCTCTGGCGCCGCGAAGCCACGCCTGCGGTTGCCCTGACAACGTGCCTCCCCCTCCCTCCCGCGCTAGGTTTCCTGCGCATGCGTGCGTTTGCCTCCAGGTTTCCCCGTGTGAGCACGCTGGGCCGCGGTGAGCCTCTCTATCCGGCTCCTGCCACACTTGCCTGGCGCAGGCGGCCTGGTGGCTGCTGGGTGGAGGAGGCTTTCCTCTCACTCTCCGTCCAGCGCTGTGATACTCGCTGCGGCTTCCTGTCCTAACACAGCAGCTCGTACTAATCTGAGCAAGCTGGCCACTGCTCTGACTTCCCAGGTCTTACTGCACCCTCTGGAGCATACGCTAGTATCCCGTCGCCAACACCCGGTGAAACATTCTTGTATTCCGGGGACAAACCCCATTTGATGGACATAGAAACTACTGAGTGGAATTAGAAACAGTTATACCAGGCGGTGGTGGCGCACTGTTAATCCCAGCACACGGAAGGCAGAGGCAGGGGATCTCTGAGTTCAAGACCAGCCTGGTCTACAGAGAGAGATCCAGCCACAGAGAAACTGTCTCGAAAAACCAAAACAACAACAACAAAAACCTCATGGTGTAGTCCTGCAGGACCTTAAACTCCCTATCTTTCTGCCCACGCCTGAGTGCTGGGATTACAGGCCTGTGCTGCCTCTGCCTGCCGCCGCCACCCTAAGTTTTGTGCAGGCCTTTATGCATGTTAAGCAAGCACCCTGTCGCCTGACTACGTCCCTCGACCCTGCTGCCGCGCGTTTGTGTTTGTTTTTGAGTCAGGTATCTTGCTATGTGTTCCAGCTAATCTCCAGTTGTTAACTTCTGCCTCCTGAGTACTAGGATTACAGGTGTTCTAGTTAGGTTTCTATTGCTGTGGTTGACGTGACCAAAAGCAACTTAGGGGAAAAGGTTTATTTAATCTTCTAGAGAAGTCAGGGCAAGTTAGATATGTTGGTGACCTTGATGGTGTTCACACGTCTGGGAGGATCTGTTCACTTCAGTGTTTTTTCTGTTTCTTAGATTTTTTTTAAGTGTGTGAATGTTTGCCTGCATGTATGTCTGAGCACCAAGTGCGTGCAGTGCCCTCGTTGGCCAGAAGAGGGCATAGGATCCCCTGGAACTGGAGTTTCAGGCAGTTGTAAAGCTGCCACGTGGGTGCTGGAACTGAACCCAGACCTCCGAAGAGCGGCTAGTATTTTTAACTGTTGAGCCATCTCCCCGGCTCTTTGGTCTTTATATTTGATAATTTTATCTCATTTTTACCTTTGCTGTTCTTTACTGTCCCTGCTGAAATTATCTTTAAATCTGAGTCTGCTAAAGGTTTCATTTTAGTTGTGTTTTTCAGCTTCAGGATATATATTTTTGCTATCTAAAAAGTAGCTTAAAAGTTTCCCTTTCGTCTATACCCCCATTTATTGTACTGTATGCATTTACTTGACTGTATGCATCCTCATTTAGCTCATTTAATCATCATTAATACAGTTGCTTCAAAGAATTTGTCTATCCAGTCAGTTGGCCTTTCTGTAGAGTATGTCTTTCCACACCCTTACCTCACGATCCCTGAACCTTTCTGGTATGAATTGTATTGATTTTTTTTTTTTTTTTTGCTCTTGAATGGTTCATACTGTCCTGTTTCTTTTATACTGTGATTTGGGGGCAGAAGTTGAAAACTTCTTTTGATGTTTCTGTATAATACTTTTAAAACTAGCATACAAAACAATTTGCGCTGGGCGTTGCTGGCACACACCTTTAATCCCAGCACTCGGGAGGCAGAGGCAGGCGGATCTCTGTGAGGTCAAGGCCAGCCTGGTCTACAGAGTGAGTTCTAGGACAGCCTCCAAAACAATACAGAGAAACCCTGTCTCAAAAAACCAAAAAAAAAAAACCAAAAAAACAAAAACCCAAAAACCGATTTGCTTCATTATGGCATTTTCATACATAGGTGCCATTATACTTTGTACTTTTATTTATTTTTTGAGACAAGGTCTCCTACATAGATAACCCTGAATGTCCTGGCATTCGCTCTGTAGACCAGGTGGACTGGAACTCACAGAGATCCACCTGCCTCTGCCTCCCGAGTGCCGGGATTAAAGGCGTGCGCCACCACCGCCCGGCCCTGAATAAGCCTCTTCATAAATTGACTGCTCAGTATTGTTACTGTGATGGAGAACCGGAGCATGCAGGCTTGCTGCATGGGTAGAGAGCTGTTGAGACAGGCAGTGTCTGAATTACTTCGTGGGTAGAGAGCTATTGGATAGGCAGTGTCTGAATTGCTGCATGGGTACAGAGCTGTTGAGACAGGCAGTGTCTGAATTGCTGCGTGGGTACAGAGCTGTTGAGACAGGCAGTGTCTGAATTAGTGCTCTATTGCTGTGAGAAGACCCCGTGACCAAAGCAACCTATACAAGAAAGCACTTAATTGGAGGCTGGCTTACAGTTTCAGAGTCAGTCCATTTCCATCATGGCAGGGAGCATGGCGGCAGGGAGGCATGTCCTGGAGAAGTTGCTGAGAGCCTACATCTGACCCACAAGCAGAGGCAGAGAGACTGGGCCTGGCCTACTGTGGGCTTTTGAAACCTCAGAGCCCACCCCAGTGACACCTCCTCCAACAAGACTTCCAACCCTTCCCAAACGGTTCCCTAACTGTTCAAATATAGGAGCCTGTGAGGGCCATTCTTATTAAACCACCCCAGGAAAGGGGCTAGGGAATTCCGAGAGGAGGTGAAACTCTAAGAAATGACTTCAACTCTGAAATGCGGTTGGAACCTTTCAGCAAGTGGTTGGAACTTCTGGGAGTTCTTGTCACTGCTTAGCTAAAGCAAACCAGGCAAGCAGTCTGGGGCCTCATTACTTTGGGCCTCGGGTGGGCTGAAATCCGCCAGCAGAAGCATGCGGAGGAGGCCGTTCACCTCAGAGCAGACCGAAGCAAAAGGGCGGTGAGAACGTACAGCTAGCCACCCTGGCCCAAGCTAAAGGAAGGCCTGTAGTCGTAGGTGTGCTTGGTTATTTCCTAGCTCGCACGCTCAGTCTGGGGTGGGGCCTTACTGACTGCGAAGTTAAACCAACCGTCGCAGAGTGCAGCTTGGTTTGTCTGAGACGGTGGAGTGTGGTTTTTACGTCCAGGGCTCACCACATCATCCTGACCAGAACACACTTTTCATGCCCACCTCAACGGAAGCCTGGAAGGGCAAACTCTGGCTGGTTCTTCGTTTTCCTGGCTCGCCGTTTTGCCGTGTTATAAGACGCTCTCCTTTTCCTGAACGTTGCTTCCGTTAGCTGCTGACTTAATGTCTCTTCTAGTCTGTGTTTGCATTCAGGCACACCTGGCCGCCCCTTGGAGACCTGGCAGAGGTGTCACCCTGAGCACATGCCCAGTATGCAGGCAGGACCTGGCCTGCTGTGTGCTCTGTGTGCAATGCCCTGCCCCCCTTTAAAAGGCAGAACCCCGCCCACTCCCCCTCTTTCTTCTCCCTCTTCCTCTTCTCTCTCTTCCCTTCTCCCCAGCCCACCCCCTCTCTGCCTCTCTGTATCTCTCTCTTTTCCCACAAGGCTGCTCTGCAGTCCTTTCTCTCTCCTCTCCCCCATAAAACTCTCCACTTGAGCACTGTTGCATGGTCTGTCTGTCTGTCTGTCTGTCTGTCTGTCTGTGTCTCTCTCTCCTCTCTCTCCCCCATGGGCCTCCTTGGTTCCAACCTGACAAGGTCTCTCTCTTACAACAGCCTCTATTTGGTTCTTTCTCTGAGAAAGGACTCTAACAAAAGTGTCCCTTACGTAAGGCCACTTCACCCAAGAACAAGGTGTTTTCCAGTCCTCTGGTAACGGTGTTGGGAGAATCACTGATTGCATATGGAAGGGGCCACCCCTGGCTCCCTGAACTCTTTTGATAACTCTAGGAATAATCGGCTGGCTTTGGGAGGAGCAGTTAGAGAAGGCACCAGTGCCCGGCATCAAGTCGAAGGAGATGCGGTAATCTACGGCTGTCAGAATGGCCCAGTTGATAAAGGCACTGATGCACAGGCCTGACAACCTGAGTTCCGTCCCCAGAACCTGCATCGAGGTGCAAGGAAAATGGCTCCCCAGCCCTGAGGACTTTTTTAAGTAATAGCTTTTTGAAAAATAAATTGTTTTAGATTCCTCTATTTTTACATGTATGAGTGTTTTGCTTGTATGCAGGTACTTGTACCCTATGCATGTCCAGTGCCTATGGTGGCCAGAAGGTGTCAAATCACCTGAAACTGGAGTTATGGACGGTTGTGAACCACTGTGTGGGTGCTGGGAATCGAACCTGGGTCCTCTGGAAGACCAACAAGTGCTCTTAACCACTGAGTCCTCTCCTCAGCCCTAAAATAATAGCTTTAACATCTGGTTTCTGGTCAGGCATATAAAGAGTTGGGAAGTGAGCACTCCATCTACACAATAAGGAAAAATGCTGAGCAAACCGAAAATTACCAGCTTTTGTAAGAGCCATCAAAGAATTGAGGTCTTAGGGGTAAACCACTATCCTGAATACTGGGGACAGACAGGCAAACACAGAGAACCACAGCTTGCCCACAGCTAGGACCAGACTCAGGCTGGAGAGCTCAAACTGTAATCAGGAAATTGCTAGACTCCACACGGACAATCTTTTAGTTCTTGCTTTGAGACATGGCCTCACTGCCTTGGCGCCCACAGCCCTCCTGCCCTGGCTTCTTAGTGCTGCTGTTACAGGTGAACGACACTACACCTGGCCCTAATATGGACACTGTTGGGAAAATGCGACAGCAATCCGGGATCCAGCTGTGGCTGTGAACACCTGTCTGTGATCCCAGAAAAGGATTGTGAGTTCAAGGCTAGTCTGGGCTGCACATGGGGCTGGCTTCACGAAACCGCTAGGGAGGTTGTTTCTTTTTCTCCGTTGTTCACAATTTTATTATTTCC